TGCTGACGCGTGGATGTCTTTTAATCTCGGTTGGTGCTACCAACCGGGACAAAAGGCCATCCTGCCTGGGCAAGCCGCAGCGACCACGTGGAGCCTCATCTGTCCCGATTCGTATAAGAACCGGAATTAAAGGTACTGGGCTTTAGTACCGACCCTTTAGTCCCGGTTACCGAACCGGGACAAACGGACCTTATAAACCGGGACAAATGGATCTTTTTCTACTAGTGCATATCAAATTCTCAAAGAAAGTCCAAAAAAAAAGGATGAAACATGGTCCGTCCACAAAAGGATCCGCCCCTGATCACTACGGTAATGGAGTTACCATAGTATCACTGTCACGTGGATCAGGATCAGCGCAACCATATGACTTCGCATATGTTTAATTATGTTTTCTTAATATACATTTTTTTAATCTAAATGTTTTATATGTCTATTTAATTTTTTTTATTTAAGACCGCGCGGGCTAATGCGTCGGCCGTGTTGGGCACACCACCCCTTATTACCAAAAGCGAACACACTCGTCCGCCTGGCCGACCCAAACGGACAATCTGCGTCCTTTTGCGTTGACCGGTCAGAGTTGCCCTCTTTCATTGTGCCAAAACTGGTACTGCATGCAAACATGATTCCGGCACTTGTTCGGACACTGCCCGTCGAGACGATGGACATATCCAGTACTACCAGACTTGTTCCAATATGTGAGCACGCGACGTGAAATGGGAAATTTTGTTTTTGTCACTCTAGATTTTGCCAATTTTTCTTACGAAAATGTTTCGAAACGGCGCGCCGACCGAACTTTCGGCCGACCGCTCGCGCTCACACCCAAACCCCCGCACATGCAGTACGACCCGCACGCGCAGCCGCATGCAAAACTGCTGCATGCAAAATTGCTCCCGCACATGGCGGGTCCTACACACCTGGCTCTCCGCAAAACTGCTGCATGTAAAACTGCTCCCGCACATGGCGGGTCCTACGCATCTGGCTCTCTTTTCTATCTTATCTCTTCCCCTTCTTCTACCTCCAGCCCACATCGTAGTTTCCTTAATGCTACAACCGTTGTCTCAAATTGCTACAAGCTGCTTCCCACGCAGCTACAACCGGCTTCACGATTTGCTACATCATACGGCCCCGTGTTTTTTCTGCATGTTACCACCGTTGTCACAAATTGTTACAACCGGCGTCCCACACAGTTACATCTAACGTCGCTTTTTGCTACATCGCATGGCCACCATGTTTTTTGCTACATGTGACACAGGGATGCTGAAACCAACATCTTTTTTGCTAGATGCTTCAACTGGCATCACAATATGCTACAACCGGCATCGTATTTTGCTACTACCGGTGTCGCATTTTGCTACATCGCACATGGCTTCGTGATTTTTGCTACAACCGGCCACAAAAAAAGCTGCGTCCGGCGACGTGATTTGCTGCAACGGCCATGGCAAAGTTCGATCGCACATGGCGCACCAGCGAGCAGCTCCGACGAGCATGCAGGCGAGCGCGCCGACGAGCATGCAGGCGAGCGGCGGCTCCGGCGAGCAACCCGACGAGCAGCTCCGGCAAGGAAGCCGACGAGCAGGCCGACGAGCAGCTCCGGCGAGGAAGCCGACGAGCAAGTCCGGCGAGCGGCTCCGACGAGGGCGCCGACGAGCAGCTCTGACGAGCGCGCCGACGAGCAGCTCCGGCGAGCAAGCTACCGACAACAACGAGCCTGTACGTGAGGATGGAGGAGGCTTTGACCCACGCGCAAGGAAGGAGATGCAATCTGGACGGTTATTATTACGTGAATCGAACGACTAGGGCTGGACCGGCCGAAAGTTTCGGCCGGTGCGCCGGCGCCCAGTACTGGCCTTTTTCTTATGCCATTCTAGATTTTGACATTTCGCTTTTGCCATTCTTAGCTTTTCACAATTATCGGAACTACCATTCCGTGGCAAAAGCAAAATAAATTTATTTCATTTTTGCCCCTCTTAGCTTTTGAAATGTATCACAATTGCCACTCTGAAAATTTTGCTTTTGCCATGGGAATGTCAATTGTGATAATTGTCAAAAACTAAGAATGACAAAAGTGAAATGTCAAAATCTGGAGTCGCATAAGGAAAATTGGTAAAATCTAGAGTAACAAAAACAAAATTGTCCCATGTGAAATAGTACTACCTAATGTATCTGAGAGCCAAATCCCCTATACATGGCTACATAAATGCGATTTGGTTATTCATATGCAGTTAGATAGTCTAGACATGCATACCAGCGGACGTGGACGCCGTGCGTCAAAGGAGCTTTTCGTTAGAAACTATCCATACTCACCATATATATTCTACTAGAACAGAGGAAGTATTCAAGGGTAACACGCGGCCTACTTACACAGGAACCATAGGGTGCTTATGATAACTTGCAAATGAAGTTCGAGATCATGACAGCGGTTCAAGATCATGGCATCGGCGACAAGGCTCCACAACATTTAGCTTGACTCTTGAGGGAACTTTTGGCTCAACGTATGTCTTGATAGCCAAGAGCCCTTTACCAACTTCCACCAGAAAATCTACGCGCAAATGCAAGCACTTTCCACTATAGTTGGTCAAACAGCTATGCCAAGGATGTCCTGTTGTGGTGTCCAATGTAAGGCATTGAAGTGACGCTGTATTCTCAATGATATGGCATGTTAGCTCTACTACGCTCTTCGCAGAGGAGAAACCAATGATCTTCACTGTCTTAAGCCTATCATGGCGGTGTCCTGGTATCTGCCTCAAATTTGATGTATCTCCGACGATTGATTCGTGCAACATCTTTCTCTGCAACACCTAAAGATGACATGCCAATATGGCTGGATTAATAGTTCCATCATTGTAACTAAATATCCTTACAAGATGGAGAGTGACTTACATTCAGGACAAGGGTCTCCAAGGAAGGAGAAGCATCAAAAAGGGATATTAGAGAACAATAGTCGTAGGTCGGCGGAAATGTCATTGCATTAAGATCAACACTCAAGTGCTTGAGATGTAAGAATTTGCTAGGTAACACTGGTGTATCAATTATCTACACAAAAATATCTCAAATCAATCATACTATGCATATTAAAAGTGTAAAGATACCAAAGGATTTAGTGTATACCTCATGACGTGAACATAGAGAAAGAGCTTCAACATATTGCAAGTTGGACAAAAGATTAGTGCATGCATAACTGACAACACCGGGGAAGGACATGTCAAACTTCTTGAATTGCAATGCTACTCCAAGTGATAGTTGTACTTGGCAGAGACCCATAAATTGAAAATTAGATAAGTTTGGAGCTTCTATCTCTATAACCTTCAGGCTGCTGCAGTGAAGCACTTCCAGGTATTTGAGCTGTTGCAGATGAAATGGCATCTTTAAGCAAGTTATGTTATTGCAATTCTTGAGTTGCATCCGTTGCAAAGCAAAAAAATTGTGAAGAAGGGACCCCATCTGATCCCTCGTAATATTAACATCAAATAGCTCAAGTCTTGACAAACTTTTCAAGCACAGCCCGACAGTGGGAGAGAAAGCACAACAAGAAAGCTTTAGATACTGAATCAATTTTCCATTCTCATTAGCCAAAAGTGACCACGGAAAGTTATAATGCTTTCGTGACTTTGTAGATAGCTGAACAGTGAGTTCTTCAATCCCTGGTGTAATAGCAGTCTGAAGCCAGCCATCAAGGTTACATACCTTGTCATCGTAATAACGGAAAACAATCTCGAGTGTTTTGATGGCAATGCATGAGTGATTTTTCAAAATGTTGTCAACTCTGCTGGTGAAATTTCTTACTATTTCATCCTCTCCACATGATCTTTCATCCATGCCCAGTGCTTTCGCGTTGAAAGCAAGGTTTGGATAGCATCTCCAAGAACGTTTAAATGCATGAGACACGCAGGCAGTTCGAGCAGCATCTTGCATTGGCAGTAGGGAGAATATATGACACCAGATATCCTGCATGCACAAACATGTGAGAAAAGCTGAACATGGCCACGAATAATTATTTCAAATGGACAAAAGAATGAAAAAAAAACATAGAGTAACATTTTAGCCCAAGTGCTTGCACATAATTGCAACGTGATACAGAGGCACACTATGCAATTGTGCTGACCGCTGAGTAAAGGGTGGTTACTCTCCTAAATGTCTTATTACTGGTTCTGAAAATAGTCTTAGTATCGGCTAGTTACTACGAGTGAAACCATTGCATTTCATCGAACTCACATGTACGCACATTTATGTCGTATGGTGAGGCAACTTCATAGACACAACCTAATTTCGTCATGATGGCAAATTAAATGACTACTTATACAGAGCACCATCCACTAACACCGGGATAAAAGGTTGCGTGCAGTAACCTTAGCAGTCTAGCACTTCCAACAATAGCGACATATCCAAAAAAATCCGTCCAGATTGACCACTTCCGAGTTCTGGTAGTATGAAGGCGTACACTTTATATGGTCCTAAACTCGCTCATAATCTAGATGCGATCATGTTAACTGGAACAGTCTTACCATCAATCTCTGTTATATAGAACTGCAATACAAATAAGGATGGAGATAACTGTGTCACCGCAGAAGAAATTTTCTGTACAAAAAAATATCATTTCACTGCAGGAAATGAGCAGCTGCCCTTATATCAGAAGGGTTGCTCGAACTAATGTGGGTCAAGATTATTTACTGGTTTAAGAGCCCAATGTCAATCAGACTAGTAAAAATAATGCGGTCAAAATGTTGAGCTTTTAACGGGAGGGAGTTGTATAAAATAACATCATAAGTCAGATTATTAGTAGATATATACACTCTGGATATTTATATACTGTAGCATACATGGGCACAAAAATGGCTAGTCATCTGAATTAAAAAAAATGTATCAAGGAAAGGACGGGGCCTCTCGTGAAGATTGAGTTCCAACACTCATGACAGGCATTTTTCTGCAGGCAGTTCAAAGAAAACAAAGCTACTAATGCAGTAGGACTGTGGCATGTTGCAGCACTAAGGATATATTCATACTAAATACTTCACCAAGCACAGCTCAACCAATTAGTATAGTTAGAGCATTCATATCCCATCATCACCGTTTCATGGCGTACCTCTGGAAGATGTGGCCCAGGGCATTGTGGTTCACCACCTTGGGAACAATGGTCTTCTGTGCAGGTTGAGTCCTTTCTGTGAACCGTTGAATCAGCTGGTCCATCTGCAATACATAAGCATGATTACAGGTGGAAAGTTATAAGAAGAAAAAAAGTGAAGCATGTATATGCACATGCTGAAAGAGAAATAGTTCTTGTCCAACTTTAGTCAACAGAAATAACGCTTTTCGAGCTAGACACCCAAGTTTCATTTCAATTAAAGGAAAAGACTTTTGAATGACCATATACATTGGTATAAGACATTGTAATACCACCCAAGTACCCCGTACATGATTGCAAAAAAAAAAAGTACCCCGTACATCGTCGACGGTGCACAAACAAACAAAACAAGACAGGGGAACACATAATTCAGAGGGTGCGTAGACAGTCGACTTGGTTTCCCCTCTGTTGTGTTGCCAAGGATCAGCAGCCACCTGCTAACTCTAGCATGGAAAACACATGGGTCCTCTCAAACCCAATGTATGTTTACTGTGTATTTGAGTGGCCACACTGATGTTATAGCAAATTTTCATAACATGGGTACATATGAACAACACACACAAAAATTGATCTTTCCCCAAATTGATCCAAAAAATCCTTTTATACTACTACTCCCTCCGTCCCATAATGTAAGACGTTTTTTTTACACTAGACCATAGAAACCTAGCTTACTCAAACAGTTTTCTTTATGAGAAAAAAAACAAAAATTTACGCTGAAATAGACACTAGGTTAGATCGACCTACAAGAATCTGCTTGCCTCACCTGGTCTTGTTCCAAAAAGAAGGAACTGGGTACAGATGAAAAAAACAGCGAGGTGGTGACTTACTATGGGGTTGGATTTGCAGGCGACGACTTTCCCGCTGCATCGACATCACCCGATTGAGCATCAGCTGACCCTGGTTCGACGAGACCTAAGGGTCGAGAAATCTCGATTTGGATCTCGCTGTCGCGAGTATGGAATCTCGATTTGGATCGAACACGGCGCCAGGCCAGGGCACCCAGCCCACCAGTAGTATATCTCTATCTCTCCTATCTCACGGAAACGTAAGGTAATTTGATATGGGCCAGGATTCCCGAAAAAAACATAGGAGCCTCGCCTGATCACGTTACCTCGGGCCCGTTTAGCGAGCGAGACGACGACTGGGCCAGCCCATAAGCGCGCACGCAAGCCTGTCCGCTGCTGCTGGAGCTCTCGGGCAACGAGCCAACGACAACGACCAACGAGGCACCCTCTCGCCAACGGATCTGCCGTCGCCGCTCGGTGGCTTGCTCTAGCGCATGCAGTCGCCGGAAGAATCGATTAAGGCCGAACCAGAGCAGCAGACTTCCCAGGGCTTGGTGGACACGGACCGTTGGCCAGCGAGAGTGAAGCAGTAGGCACGAAAAGGGCCTCCAACAGAAACGAAAACTGAAGCCATCTTCTTCCTCTGCCCTGCCCTGTGCCTTTCGTCTCGATCCCCTATCCTGTTCCTCTGGTGGTCGCTCTTCACGAGAAGAGCGACCGGGGTTATCCTCCTTTTTACTGTTTATTACCATCCAGCTGTTGTTAATCCTGTTTACCGCCATCGTCAAAAAGAAAATCCTGTTTACCGCCACTTATCTGAAGGTTAAACCCTGCCTACATAACCCGGGTTGTGGCTAAGGTTGCGTTGATGATTTGATTCCCCATTTCTGCCATTATGGTTAAAACAATACAGATACAAATACCCTATAAAATCGATGGCGCCCCGCCGCTATGAGTACAGTGCTTAAATCTATGCAACCCCAACGTTCTCGTGATGCACCTAAAAAACAACCGGTGGTAGGTGAAACAGAGCACGCCAAGTCACCTATACTACAGCAGGCTCAAGCAGAACATCAAAATGCTAGAACTGATCTTCTTCGAAAACAACTGGAAATGGAGAAGGAATACAACAGGCAGTGTGATAATTCACCACCTATCAGGATCACCAGACCATATGTTACCTCCTGGCATGCGTACACAGCAGGATGTGACAATGTGACAAATATTTGCAGATGGCTGCTGCACCTGAAGACTATAAGTTATCTCTAGCTCAACTTTACATTGTAGGAGAGGCTGACGTGTGTTCAAGAAGGTCAGGACTGTTAGAGAAACTGTTGTCATGGACTAAATTCTGTTCTGAGCTGACAAAAAGGTTTTCCTCTCATGGCTCTTATGACCTAACAGAGAGGTTCAATGCAGTTAAACAGAATAATCAGACAGTCCGGGAATATACCAAAAATTTGAAGGACTGATGGCTGATGTCCAGGATGAAAATCCTGAACTATCTGAAGCTTCGGTTGTTAGGTGCTATGTCAGAGGGCATAAAGCACCAAGTTAGACCTGACTGATGCTTATATACTGACAAGTTTCATAAAACTAGAAAAGTGGGAGAATGTTGGAGATGTTGTGATAAATGGGTTCAAAGCCACTAGAGCAAATTAGTACCAAATATTCATATCATGCAGGAAGATCATACTGGCCAACAGCAAACTGACACTGAAGAACCTGAAATACAGGGAACAACACAGAAAATGTGATGTTCATTTCTGCCCAAGCCATCAGTGGTGCTCCCCTTCCACACCCACTGTGGTCATCTATCTCAATGGAAAAAGAGCAGTGGCTCTACTGGATACTGGGAGTACATCTTTTACGGATCAACAATTTTCTGTCCATTACAGTTATACTTTGCTTGCACCTACACCTAGAAACATTGCAGTGGCAGGAGGTCCACTTACATGGCAACACACGAGCCTACTAGTTACACTTTAAACATTGGGTTTGGGGTGTATAACCCGGGTAGCAGCAGCAGCAAGGTTCCTCGACGTCCTACTTTAACTTACACAGGAATCATAGGGTACTTATGATAACTTGCATATGAAGTTCAACATATGATCAGTGGTTGATCATGGCATCGGCGGCAAGGCTCCACAACATTTAGCTTGACTCTGGAAGGAACTTTTGGCTCAACATATGTCCTGATAGCCAAGAGCCCTTTACGAACTTCCACCATAAAATCCCCGCGCAACAGCATGCACTTACCAGTATTGTTGGTTAAACAGCTATACGAAGGATGTCCTGTTGTGGTGTCCAATGTAAGGCCCACAAGTGATGTTGTATTCTCAATGATATGGCATGTTAGCTCTACTAAGCTTTTCGCAGAGGAGAAACCAATGATCTTCACTGTTTTGAGGCTATCATGGCGGTGTCCTGGCATCTGCCTCAAATGTGATGTATCGCCCACGACTGATTCGTGCAACATCTTTTTCTGCAAAACCTGAAGACGATAGGCCAATATGGTTGGATTAATAGTTCCATCATTGTAACTAAATATCCTTGCAAGATGGACAGTGACTTACGTTCATGACAAGGGTCTCCAAGGAAGGAGAAGCGTCAAAAAGGGATATCAAAGAACAGTAGTCGTAGGTTGGGGGAAATGTCATTGCTTGAAGATCGACACTCAGGTGCTTGAGATGTAAGAATTTGCTAGGTAGAACTGGTGTATCAATCATCTGCGCAAAGATATTTCGAATCACTCATGCTATGCATATCAACAGTCAAAAGATAACTAAGGATTTAGCGTATACCTCACGCCATGAACCTAGGGAAAGAGCTTCAACATATCGCAAGCTGGGCGGAAAAGCAGAACAAACATAGCTGACAGCGCCAGGAAAGGACAGGTCGAACTTCTTGAATTGCAATCCTACTCCAAGCGATAGTTGTACTTGGTGATGACCCATAAACTGGAAATAAGTGAGGTTTGGAGCTTCTATCTCTATAACCCGCAGCAAGCGGTCGCCGTCAAACACGTCCAGATATCTGAGCTGCTGTAGATGAAACGGTATCTTCAAGCAAATTATCTTATTGCAACACTGGAGTTGCATCCGTTGCAAAGCAAAAGAATTTTGAAGAAGCGATCCCAACTGGTCCCCCGTGATATCAACGTCGCTTAGCTCGAGTCTTGAGAAGCTTTTAAAGCACAACCCGCCAGTCGGAGAGAAAGCACAACGGGCAAGATTTAGAATCGAATCGAGTTTCCACTCTCATTGGCTAAAAGTGACCACGGAAAGTTGTAATATCTTCCTGAATTTGAAGATAGTTCCACGGTGAGTTCTTCAATCCCCGGTGTAACAGCAGTCTGAAACCAGCTATCAATGTTACAGACATTGACATCGTAGTAACGGAAAACAATCTCGAGGGTCTTGGTGGCAATGCATGGGCGGTTTTTCAAAATGTGGTCAACTCTGCTGGTAAATTTCCTTGCTATTTCGTCCTCTCCACATGATTCTATATCTATGCCCAATGTTATCATATCGAAAACAAGGTTAGGATAGCCTCTCCAAGAACGTTTAAATGCATGAGATACGCAAGCAGCTCGAGCAGCATCTCGCATTGGCAGTAGGGAATATATATGACACCAGATATCCTGCACGCACAAGCATGTGAGAAATTATTTCAAATGGACAAAAGAAATAAAGAAAACCATGTCGAGCAACATTTTAACCCAACTGCTTGCAATGATTGCAACGCGATACAAAGGCACACCGTGCAATTGTGCTGACTACTGAGTAAAGGCTGGTTACTCTCCTCAATGTCTTGGTTCTAAAAGAATAGTGTTGGTATCATCTAGTTACTACGAGTGAAACCATTGCATTTCATCAAACTCACACGTACACACGTTTATGGCATATGGCAAGGCGACTTCATAGACACAACCTAACTTCCTAATGATAGCAAATTAGACCACTACTTATACAGAGTATCAGCCACTAGCACCAGGATAAAAGATTGCAGTAGCCTTAGCAGTCTAGCGCTTCCAACAATAGCGACATATACAAAACAAATCATTCCAAATTGAACACTTCTCAGTTCTAGTAGTATGAAGACGTATACTTTACATTGTTCTAAACTCGCACATAATTTGGTGTGATCATGTCAACTGGGAACAGTCTTACCATCAATCTCTGTTATATAGAAGTGCAAAACAAAGAAGGATGGAGATAACTATGTCGCCACAGAGGAAATTTTCTCTATAAAAAATATCATTTCACTACAGGAAATGAGCAGCTGATCGACCTTATATCAGAAGTGCTTTCGCTGGAAGTACCGTGGGTAAAGATTATTTACTCGTTAAAGAGCCCAATGTGAACTGGACTAAGAAAAATAATGCAGTCAAAATATTGGTCTTTTAATGGGAGGGAGTTGTATAAAATAATAACATCGGACACCAAATTATTAGTAGATATGGACACTCAGGGTACATAATGTAGCAAACATGGGCACAAAGATGGTTATTCATCTTAACAAAAAAATGTATCAAGGTAAGGATGGGGCCTCTGTAGATATGTATGGATGTTTTATCGTGAAGATTGAGTTTTAACTGCCAAGGACGACATGTGCTAGGCATGGAAGAAGCTAACAATATGTTGGTTATTTTTTGTTTATTTTCTAAGCAAAGTGTAGGGTCCCGAAGGACCCCGAAGCTGGTATAACGCGTCAAACTTTGTTACTCCCTCCGTCTGAAAATACTTGTCATCAAAATGAATAAAAGGGGATGTATCTAGATGTATTTTAGTTCTAGATACATCCCTTTTTGTCTATTTTGATGACAAGTATTTTCGGACGGAGGGAGTACATCACAACCCATAGGACGACCCGAAAGAAAATAAAAATTGTAACTTAGTCCTTCACTTTTGCACACAGGACTTGGATCGAACAAAAGAAACACAATTGAGTCTTGGAGCTGCAGCTGATCTAGCAGGAGATGATGACTACGTCGTCCCCGACAAAAGCACACCTTACCAACACGAGCAAAGCCACTCTCAGCATGTTTGCTGAGGACACCCGACCAAGGCGGCAAGGGGAGAACCGGAGAAGGGCCTCCAA